AAAATATTCAAGTTCCAACGATTCTCCCACTATTTTAATAAAAAATAAATCATTCTTTTGGGTAAAAATGGATTATTATGCATAATAAAGGTAGTTAAGCCTTAAATCTTACTTAGTGAGTCAACAATTCTTAATCCAAAGTCAATAATGAACTAAGTCTTGAATTATGATCCCGTTGGAAGATACAAGAATCGTATCACACACATAATGATCCAAATGTTGAGTTTTTCATGCAGCTAGGAATTATGGCCTTGCGCATGATCCCGGTTTTCATGGGTGATATAGAAATTTGCCTATCTAATTTTCATAAAAGCAACCTCACTTCGACACCCACATAGATGAAATTTGTCAAGGGTGCTCCTATAACTAAGACATTCCACTCTATAAGCTACAAATTTCATTAAGAGTATATAACTCAATCCTTAATTCGTTATGGGATAGATGCATCCTCACCTTAGGAATGGGACCGGAAATTTTTTTTGTTAAATATTGATGCATCTTTCAACAACGACTTCTCTATGATTCGTTTTTCCCATTCAAAACCCAATTCTTAGAATTCGGGTTGGGTATCCTTATAGGAAGTTCTATATTATTGGGCTTGAATCCCATCCCCCTCGATGAGCATTAGACCTTGGACTATGATCATAGATTTTCCTCCAACTTTTCTCTTTACCAAAGGCCTAGTTAGTGGTATAATGGGTAAAAAGAGATTCAACTCATTCTTTTTTTCTCATTTTTTTACATCAACCCACTTGTCTACTAGCTCATAAAATTCACATTCATATTTCTCAAGTTCTCAATTCATTGTACCACAGTTTTAATATCAAATCGAGCTAGTGAACCACCTTTTTCTTTCCATAGATGCAGAGACATGTATTTAAGAATTTTTTAACTGAAACACCATTGTACTTGGTTGTACAATAGGAATGTCCATCACATACCCCTTTTCTCAAATGCCTTATTATTTTTTTTTTATCATACAACATTATATCATAATTGTATAATAGGAATGCATATCACATTTACTTTGTTAAACACCATTATACTTTATTATATAATAGGAGTGCATATCACATTTGCTTTGTTAAGCACCATTATATCTTATTGTATAATAGAAATGCTATACAAAATTTCAGTTAGGCACCATTGGTCTCATCACCAATAACAATACATGGGGATATCATAATAATTCCCCACGTTGGGAACATCTCAAATATGTGATTTTCATATTTCTCAAATAATTGAGTTTATGAAGAAACTCATTTACTCACAAAATTTCATAAGAGCATATTAGCTCATTTCACATTTTATTGTCACAAGTGACTTCTCAGTCACGTAAGCTTCAAATTTTAACTTACGTTTTTAAAATATATCAACCCAAATTTCATATCCATTTTTTCAAAATTATTACATGGACCAAATTGGGTAACTCTCTTCTTTAGTCTTTCCACTTGGGTTCTCAAAATTTTCCATAAAGCCATTTTCCATGGTTCCTAACTAAGTAAGACAACATAACATTCACTAAAGATTTGTTAGAGAGCAAAAATAATCAACTAACAAAATATATGATTAGGAACAATATTTTACACATAATGGCATAACCAATGCACTTAGCATTTTACTAGCCATTGGAGTTAAATCACATTACTAGTGTTGCATTGAAAACTAAAGGCTACATCATTTTAATGTGTCCATAATCATGCAATAACTAAGGGAAAGATTACATATAAATACATTAGATTAATTTCTACTGTTGGAAATAAATTACACAATAAATATATTTTCGTTAAGGCTAACAATAGCCATAAACAGCCATGTCAAAAAAACACCCAAGTAATAACCACATTCATGTTGAAATTTACTAGCAACAAACACAACTCCTTAAAGGACCATAGCTAGCATCATGGTATAACAGTTTCACATGCTAGGTTTTCCCTTCTTTTCTTTTCTTTTTTTTTTCTTTTTTCTTTTTAATTTTAATCTATTGAAAATGTATCATAAATTAAGGACTACGGTAGCAGTAAAAAAAACACACATTTGCATGCATTACTCAACAGAAAAAGTAAAAAAGTAAAGAAAGTATTGTATGATATCCTCAAAAAAAAAAAAAATTTAAATAGATTTGTACCAAGATCTCATACTTATTTGGTGCATATATATATATATATATATATTCAAGAAAATCAAAATTTTCTATTATGCTTACACAAAGCCTCATATATTTCACTTTTGATTTGCATATTGAATCGCCTTAAAATTGTTGTTCCTTGAATACTCACCTCCATCTCTACATCATGTCATTGTTGTGCTTTGGTCACAAAATCAAATAAAATAATAATTAGTGAACTTATCAAAAAATATCGATAAGAAAATATCATCAAAATAAGCGTGAAAAACTTACTTACTTTAAGACGATTCACACCTCTATGAAGAGTAGATCAACTGGTGCAGTAAAGATATATATAGCATATCGCCCTTAAGAAGCTACAATTTTATAATTATACTCTATGAATCTACACTATTCATAGAATCACCAAACTCAAAACATCATTCTTTATCCAAGAATATTTAGAAGATAAAGTAAAGTAAGGAAAATAAGGGAATGTGGAGTAACTTTCTCCTTTAAGCACATAGACATATCCTATTTACAAGACTTATAGTCTTATAACTTCTATTTATGGGTTAATGATAAGAATAAATTAGACAATTATTATGAAATAATATGCCCTTAAATAAGACAATTAATCTACAACGGCTAGTTAACCAAATCTTTAATAGAATAATAAATTTAATTTATTAAATATATTATTTTATTTTTTATTAAAATTTTTAAATTTCAGCATGTAGCCCTTCCCCTAGAGGAGGTTTCGTACTTCTAGGGAGCAATATAGGGATCTGCCAACAGTTTTGTTGGTTCTTGTGACATGTAATAGATATGTATGTTTGTTCATCTTTCATGGTGTTGGATCTATGATTCTATAGATGGATAGATGTTGTTTACGTAGTATTGGATCTATAGATGAGATTAAAAAACCAACTGGCCAATGTCAGTTGAAAATCTGAATAACTTTTATACTCGCATATTCCTGGAAACATAATTTCTTTTGATTCAAAAAGAAAAACAAAAAGATTTCTAACATAAAAATCATGCTGATGAAAAGAATCTACTTTAATCCCTGCTTGCATGTTTGAGGGTAGGGTGGCCCTTGACCCCTTTTGTCTTGCTATGTCATCAATACCTCGAATCTAAAAAAAGTGGTTGAGAAAATCATGATTTGCATAGAATTCATCAACTTTCTGTTTTAAGATATACATTTACTCGTAATTCAAATTTAATTATTACACTTTAAAATAACAAGGATGGTATTTAAATTTAATTATTATATGTGTTGAAAATATTATATAATTTATCTCAATTTTACTCCTATTAAAAGGTACCATTTGGTTGACCTAGATTTTTTTATCAATAAAATTAAAAAGATTTTTAGGGTAAATATAAAATGTCAAACCTTTAATAGTTTGATTATTGTGTTTTAAAAAATTTTAATAAATATTTTTATAATTGCGCCACACAAAAGTATGATAACTTAAACTTGGACATAGATTCTCAATAATGTTGCAAAATTAAAGTAATTGAACATTAAAAAAATGTTGCAAAAGCAATACATCAATGTAACACCCATGATCAACTGAAAGAATTTTCACCAGCAAGGTGGGCCATGATTTATTGATTGAAACAACAAATCAATCAAATTAAAGATATCAAAATTAGCAAATACAATTAGAAGAAATTTTTAAACCAGTCTAATGGGCTAAATGGTTCTCTATCAAATTTAAGAACTTGAGTTTAGGTGATTGGGAGTTCTACTCCCACCAATTACTTGCACACTTAATTACCTCTTTTTCCCTTAAATTCCCATGTGCTAAAAAAAAAGAAGAAATTGAAGAAATTCTGTTGAGAATACTCTTTTCTGGTACAAATTAAGTCATTAATGTTGAAGAACCTAGGTTAAAGATATTGAATAGGAAGGTTGAAATGCATGGTCCACCATCTTCCCTACTAGAAATGCTTTTAGCTTTTTGTTTCGAATTGGTGAGCATCTTTGATAAATGCTCAAGTATTCAAACAATTTACCTAATATGTTTAGAATGCCAAGTGACATTATTTAGAAACTCATTCGTGAGTTTATATAGATTTATTTATTTTATAATATATTATAATCATAAACTTATAGTATAACATTGATATTATAAGTTTATTATTATCATATAATATTCTCGATAAATATTCCATTTTCATCCAAGATTCCAGAATAGCACGCTAGTTAGCTATAGCACGAGAGAAATTCCCAAAAAAAAAAAAAAAACAAACAAGCTAGAATCGAAATGATGGTTCTCATGACTGCTTCATTTGCTACAGTCCACTTCATATCATTTAGAAAATGACACAGCACCTAAAGTGAGCGTCATAGAGCTCTCTAAATCTTGTAATATAGTGAACAAAACCTGGATCTTGATAGTTTTGATTGGCCGCCTGGGATGACTGAACACAGAACGTCAGTAAGTTTGAATCATGAACCATTAGGCTGGGTTGGATCTTTGGATTGTATAATCTTGATCGGATGTACCTTTTACTGCACCACCTCAATACCATTCATCATGAGAAAAACTCCATATACTTGACTAAAAAGGGACCCACAATGGAAGGAGATTCCGAACATTTCAACCAGCAATGTTTGATCTCTTGCATATAAGGGGGTAATCGCAAAACTGGAACCTGTCCAAGCCAATGAGACCCACAAGTCTGCATGAGTGACACGTGCTCTTGAATGGGATGATCCCATTATAAGCCATACAGCCCTCTTAAGGATGACCCTGAGAGTTTAGCCTTTTGCGCACAACACTAACTGGACCACCATGTGTACTACGTACAGCTTCCTACATTAAATCCCACACACCCTCACTGTACTCTCCTCTCACATTTTTTTAGTCAGCCGTTTCTCGAGGGCTTGCTATTACAAGCTGCAGACGTCAACCCCTGCTTTCTGATTCACCTGCTTCTCCTCCCTGATTTTTTCCTCGCTTTCAAATAAATTCCAGCGTCCTTATCGATCTTTTTTAATTCTGTTCAATTTATGGGGCACCACTCCTGCTGCAACAAGCAGAAGGTGAAGAGAGGGCTCTGGTCTCCTGAGGAAGATGAGAAACTCATTAACTACATTACCAACTACGGCCATGGCTGCTGGAGCTCCGTCCCCAAACTTGCAGGTTTCGAGTTCACTCGTTGTGATTTTTGTTGCATTCTTCTTAATTTCTTGGATTATTTTCTGACATAACAACTATATTTGATTCCTATATATATATATATATATATATATGTTTTCTTCTTATATGTTGTTTCAATCTCCTTCTTTGGATTACTTCCCGAAATCACAGGCCTTCAGAGATGTGGAAAGAGTTGCAGATTAAGATGGATAAATTATCTAAGACCTGATTTGAAACGAGGAAGCTTCTCTCCTCAAGAAGCAGCCCTAATCATTGAACTCCATAGTATTCTAGGAAACAGGTATTATGTTATTAAATTATTTCAATTGTTTCAAATTATTATTTTGAGGGGGTTTTTTTTTTTTTTTTTTTTT